GATTAACTTTTCAAAATATCAACAGCTCATATTGATAGAGCATGGATTTCTTCAGCTGACTGCAATATCATTATTAATAACATGAAAGTACAAAAATATTAAATATTGATCGGTGATTAGAAAGATTGCTAGCTCTGGTATCATTTGAATTCACTATATGCAATTTATGAAAGACTGTTATCAATCAAAATCTTCAAGAAAACCGGCAGTTGGCATCAAAGCACTTATAAGCTGATTKACAGCATTCTACTGCTAATTGCATGTCGTCAAGTTTTATCTGGGCTGGTAGCGCAGTACTTTGCATTGTTAATTTCTGTCAAAAACAACTCTTTGTGTTCTTTTCTTGATTACTGGTAAYTTTGATCTTTGGTTCATTCTTTAGAAAACAGAGTATATTATGTATATTTATATGATTGCAAAAAACCCAAGCAAAATTTAAGTTTTTTCATATCGCTGCTGCAATGTGACTGCATTTGATGTGTAGAACTCCATTCAGCAGTTTTTGATGCAGTTTTTATGTCTTAACTTTAACTWAARGAAAGGTTCCATGACCACTAGCTACATTTTCATAAGCATTGCTGATACATAGGTTTGTTGCCCAGGTGATTAACAAGTTAACAGGTCTTCAGATGGAATGCAACTGTCTAATGACAATGGTAATCATAATATAAACAATAATTTTGTTGAGTACTGGTACTCGAYATGAAAAAATATTAAAGAGGTAAAAAAAGAATTTTTTGAAGATATTTTTGTAGATATCTGAAAATCAAATTATCTTTAGACTAATTCAAATGATTTAAGATGTGCCTTAGTGTGAGGTCAAACCTGTCATTTACAGCTTGTCTGCATATATCAGGTTATAATACCATGAGATTCATATTYAATATCACAAAATACAAATTTAAGTTATAAAAGCAGATCTTAGTGAAAATTATCATCAACTGATAAAATGATAAATTAAACTTTTAGCCTTGAATTAAGCATATAAATTATGCAGCAAATTGAAAACCATAAAGTTTAGTACAAATTATGCTATGTGTATAGGTGTCACAGCAGTTGTGTACAATATGGTATATTTTTTTATCTATGATAGCGACTGTGTATTCAATACACATGTCTATTTTATTGAACATACTGTACATGAATTACATATTACATGCATTCATCAAAACAATGTTTTTCTTAAACTTAAGTGCAATATTGTTCAACAAATTCAACCMTCCATTAGCTAGAATTTCTTTTGCAAAAGTTCAATGCCATTCAATGAATTTATTCATTCTACTTATAAATCTWTCCAACTGGTAACTCAACCAGCTATAAAAAGTACAGCAACAAATAGAAAACAGTTGGAAAATAATATAATAAAGAAATGATGAATAAATTAGGCTTGTCTAATTGAAAGCAGGCCTTGAGGTATATGACACAGTGATGACTYTATGGTTTAACTTTGATAAAACATTACAAAATTGTTTTCAACATCTGTGTTATAATTATTTCTGTATTTTCAATCAATATTTTAGAACATGTAAGTTGGTATTTTCACCAATCTTTTGGCATTAAAGAAAACAGTAAGAATTACTCCATTTTTACTAATTTTTAAAGTTAATATTTCCATTATACAGCACTATGCAGAAATTATGATATTTTTGACTCATATTTCAACTATATATAAAATATATCAGAAATTATGGATATATCATCGCCAACATTTTTTTAGAAAGTGCTAGTGCTATGCAACTTCAAAAAAATATTGGCGATGATCAATATCTCATAATTTCTGAAATATTTTGTATATACTTGGAATATGAGTGAAAATAATCATAATTTCTGCATTTTGCTGTATACTAGTAAAGGATATGAAGATATATAGACAAGACAAATAGCATTGCAAAAATCATTAAGGAAAATAATAAATCTAAGTATAGAAAACTGGCTGTATCTTCAATGCAGACATGCTCCTGTTCTAGTATTGATTATGAACATATGTGCATCACGAAAATCAATTAGATCGAGTGACCAGACATCTCGATGTACATGTACATATTTCATTTCTGATCGAATTGAAACCATTTATAGGAAACTTGATTTTTCCAATCAATAAAATATACTTTAATTGTATAAAAGATCTAAAGTTACTTTTTAACCATTTCGTAATCTTTGATCAAAGAAATTTTCAAACGACCTCGCCAGAAATTGGAATGTTGTCATGTAATTTTGTGGTAAATGTCAAGTTGCTTTTGGTAAACAAAGGCATAACACACATCAAAACCGTTTATTCCCGAGCTACTAGTAAAATCTTTAACAAACATACAGAAACAAAGCTTATTTTGCGTCGTTTGTAATTCTCGTAAGCAGGTGTCTTTTGATACGATTATTTAAAGCTAAGCTTGGCTAGTGAGTAATGTATGTGGCCATGCAGAATATGAATTTTTTATGAAAAGAGAAGGACAAATAAGAAATACAGGGCCATTATCTCCCCAAAACACCAACACAACGAAGTTCTCTGGCTTCCCGAAATTCAAGATAAGGAAGTGAATAGCTAAAACAGCGATTTGCAAAATGAAAGGATGACATTTTGAAGTGGTGGCAAGGAAATAAAAGTGGGAAGTTTCACGAGGAAATTTTTGCGTCATTAAACGCCGAATGACCCTCGACGATAAAATTAAGTCATAAACATGGTTTAGCGGTCCGCTAATTTAACCCCAATTCTATATTTTTGAATTAAATGAGAGACTAAAAATCACCCCGATAATTACAACATTTACAATTCCCAAGGTAGAGAAAGAGACAACAGTCGAAGTGTTGACCACTCATAATGCAATACTAACAAACGCTGGTACCGGTAAAGACCAACAATATAGTGCTAACGATCATTCCATATCTTWTCCAAAAGAAAAACAAAGCATTCTCACTCTTACCTGTGATTTTTAAAGAGCTTTTGTGACTCTTCAAAGCCGTTATTCAAAAGGACATTGATACCGTCGCGAGCAAGACTGTGGTACTCCCAAAATCCAGGTGAACTTTTTGAACACTTTTCTGCAAGTGCGTCAGTCTTTGGAGGTCCTTTAGAAGAACTCATGGACAAACGAGTCCTTGTTGAGCCTGCTGCAGCTCAATCCGTGGTTTCAATGCAGAAAAAAACAACATATAATAAATTAAAAACACAAAGGTTCTAATCGTGCTCTCTTCGCGCCATCGGCCATGTTTTGATTTGGAAGCTCCTTGTTTTTTGACCAAAGCTTCAGGGCATAATCTGATTGGTTGAGAGAGAACCGAATAATCACGAGTCTAAGCCGAAAAGTTTCCGATGCTTTTACGAATTCACCACGAAAATTGCAAAGTGAATATTATGGTTCCTATTCAAGATGGCGTCTGTTGGGAGTCGAGCCGCTGGTAAACTTTCTTTAGGACAGCGACTTTTTTCTGCTTTTCAGGACTGGTATATCTATGCTGCTGGTTATAGACAGATAGGTAAGTAAATTTTACATGTTGTGTATAAGTTCTATTTGGTGATGTGAGTAAAATTGTTGAAATTTATTAAAATAAAATCACTGTTGCATAATGGTCGTARAATGTCGTCAACACGTTTAAGTCAGTGAGTTGCTCTTAGAGTTGTTCTTGCTTGTTGTTRCTGTATTTTCCTTTCAAATGTAGACGCATTTATCCTTTTTATATGGTTTGTAGTACATAATTATCTTCATGTAATGTGCATAGTCT